CCAAATCACAATAAAAAATATAATAAAAAAACTGCCAGCCAAATTTGTGGCTCACCTCCTTTCATATCACACATTATATGCACTTAAAAAAATGCTAAATGCAAAATGGTATTTGCTTTCCTCTCATTTTTCTTATTTCCATTTATTTTATCTTGCTATATCATGTCTCTTTTGTGAGTTGCTGTAAATCATAACTTCTGGCTGGGAGTTACTATATTTTCTTAATTATTCTACATGTGTTGTATATACGTGTATATGTGTATTCAAGGGGAGGGTAAGAGTTAAAAGCTTTCCCATTTTTTTTGAGTGAGATGGGAAAAGTATTTAACTTTTTTAACTTTTCCCTTCATGGGAAGCAAATTTAGTATTGCACACCAAAGAGATTGCAAGCTGTCTTTGTGATTCTGAGGAAATAGGTCAAAGTTCTAGCTCAAATATCCCAGTCACCTCTAGAATATTGGTTTGCTTAATCAAAACTACAGTAACTCCCACCTTGCTTTATGTCCGTTAAGAAATACATCTTTAAGGAAAGCGTCTGGTGCTGTGTAAGGAGGAAGCAATTGTGTATTGAAATCTTCCACAGAAGAAAATCTAGGTATATCATCTTAGACTTGAACTACGAACACAGAGTTTGAAAGTTAAGCACCTGCTGGCAAGTTGAGAACCCGCTCAAGGTCTCTATACCACCTTAGAGGGGTGTGAGGGATGGGAGATTGGCTAGAGGAAGTTTTCAGAAAAGCGTATCGGTTTCCACGTGCTGATCCTCGTTTCCGTCAGGCTCGGCAGCACCATTGAGGCGTTGAGCCTCAAAGCTGGGCGGCTGGGAGAGAAGAGGCGGGGAGAAAGTCAGCCTTATCAGCTGATGTTTTGACGCAGGGATAAGTCCCCACTTTGATAAGGAAGGTCCGGTTGGGCGCGCCAGAGGTCTCTCTTCCAAGCTGCAGCCCCAGATGATGTAGGGAGGGGGACGGAGTAAGGGCAGAAAACAGGTCCCAGAAAGCCTGACTTCCTCAGCACCTGAGTTGAGGTTGCAACCCGGTGATAGGAGAAAGAGATAGCGGGTAGGGAGACAACTGCAGCGGGAGTTTACAGCTCTGACGCATCAGCACCTCTCCTGGCACCCAGAGGCCCCGCGGCTGCCCAGCTTCTCCCCAGCGGGCTAAGTGAGCAGCAGCCTGGGAGATGCTGGGCTCTGGGCGACCAGACAGCCCTCTCCGCCAAGAGGAGCAGCTTTGGGCATGTGACCGCTTAGGCGGGCCCTAGCTGCAAGGCGGTGCTGCCCCTCTCCTCAGCTTTCGGAGCCTCTGACGGATTCAGACTTGTCGCGGCTCACAGCTCAGCCTCCTCCTCTCTGCCACACCATCTCCCACGGATGCTCACTTGCACGCGAGGTCGGAGCCAAATTCACAGGCACTTCCCAGAAACCCCGTTGGAGTGGCTCTGGGCGCAGTGGCCACCTTAGTGCTCCTTAATGCCCCTTCTGCACGTACCCTGGGCTGGATTCCTGACTCAGACATGGATTTGCCTGTAAACCTAACCTATTTTTATCTTTCTACCCCTTCCTCCTTGGAGACCAACCGCAGCCTGGGGACAGACCTGCGTCCTAGGCCACCCCTTCTCTCTGTCTTCGGTGTGCTCATTCTGACCTTGCTGGGCTCTCTAGTGGCAGCGACGTTCGCCTGGAACCTGCTGGTGCTGGCTACCATCCTGCGTGTGCGCACCTTTCACCGCGTGCCGCACAATCTGGTGGCGTCCATGGCCATCTCAGACGTACTGGTGGCCGCACTGGTCATGCCACTGAGCCTGGTACACGAGCTCTCCGGGCGCCGCTGGCAGCTGGGCCGGCGACTGTGTCAGCTGTGGATCACATGTGATGTGCTGTGTTGCACCGCCAGCATCTGGAACGTTACAGCTATCGCCCTGGACCGCTACTGGTCCATTACCCGCCATCTGGAGTACACACTCCGCGCCCGCAAGCGGGTCTCCAACATTATGATTGCACTCACCTGGGCACTCTCCGCCATCATCTCCCTGGCCCCGCTGTTCTTCGGTTGGGGGGAGACCTACTCTGAGGGCAGCGAGGAGTGCCAGGTGAGCCGCGAACCATCCTACACCGTGTTTTCCACGGTGGGCGCCTTCTACCTGCCGCTCTGTGTGGTGCTTTTCGTGTACTGGAAGATCTACAAAGCTGCCAAGCTCCGCGTGGGCTCTAGGAAGACCAACAGCGTCACACCCATGTCTGAAGTTGTGGAGGTGGGTGTTATAGTGATACTTAAAAATACTTTACTTGAATTTGAACAGGCTTTATTTCCAGCAAGTCCCTCT